TAAAAGCACTTTTGCTCATACCTGGTTTTTTGTGATGGCTGATTTAAGAGAACAGCATGTAGCTGTAAAATTTGGTTTCCTGCTTGGGAAAAATGCCGCAGAAACTGTTGTGATGTTGAACACAGCTTACAAGGACAGCACTATGGGAAAAACTCAAGTGTATGAGTGGTTTTCTCATTTCAAAGAAGATGAAATGTGGACTGATGGCAAACCTTATTCTGGACGTCAGTCAACTTCCCTATCAGACAAAAAGATTTACAAAATCCGTATACTTGTGCCTGAAGATGGAAGACGGACCATTGAAGAGATGGGGAAGTTATTTGTCTTGGAGCTCTGGTCAGCGAAATTTAATGGAAGACTTGGGAATAAGAAGAGTCACTGCAAAATTTGTGCCTCGGGCTATTTCTGACTGACCAGGGAAAAGAGCGACACCTGGAAACATGTTGTGCTTTGAAAAAACTGCTCTGAAGGGAGCCAGACTTTTTTCCCAAAGTCATTTATTACTGGTGATGAGACATGGTGCTATTCTTACAACCCTGCAAGCATACATCAATCAATGGAAGATGTATCAACGCCATCATCACCTGGCCCCCGAAAAGCATGTCAAGTGAAATCAAAGATCAAGATGATGCTCATTTGTTTGTCTGTTTGCCATTTTATCTGCTGACCTTGGATTCATTTGCCTTTCTCTGTAACTAAAAGCCTCTAGCCTGACATATGACCCATGGATGACCCTTGGCACTTGCCTGCCTCCACAGCTCCATGCATCATTTCCTTGATCTAAACTTATCTATATGCTGAAGATCATCCAACAACAGGTGCAACAGTACATGGACAGGAAGCTGCAAGAAGTTCAGGCTGATTCAGAAAAGGATATGGAACAAGGGATATCGTTGCAGATGTCAAATGGATTTGGGCTGAAAGCAGAGAATACAAAAGAAATGTTTACTCCTGTTTTATTGACTACACAAACGCATTCAGTTGTGTGGATCATGACCAACTATGGAATACCTTGAGAAGAATGAGGATTCAAGAAAACTTCATTCATTGTGCTCATGCAGAACTTGGATGTGCCTCAAGAGGCAGTTGTGTGAACAGAACAAGGGAATCCTACATGGTTTAAAATCAGGAAAGGTGTGTGCCAGGGTTGTATCCTCTCACCATACTTATTCAATCTCTATGCTGAGTAAATTAATGGAATAAACTGGATTATATGAAGAAGAATGTGGCATCAGGGTTGGGGGATGGTTAATTAACAACCTGCAATATGCAGGTGATACAATCTTGTTTGTTGAAAGTGAAAAGGACTTGAAGCCCTTGCTGATGAAGATCAAGGATCTTCAGCATGCATTACTTATTCAAAAGAAGACCCAATTCTCACAACTGAACTGATAGGTAACATCACAGAAAAAACAAACACACACACACACACAAACATTGAAGTTGTCAAGATTTTGTCTTGCTTGGATCCACAATTAATGCTCATGGACCACAATTAATGCTCATGGATCCACAATTAATGCTCATGAACCAATAAGAGATCAAAAGACATGTTGCATTTGGTAAATCTACTGGACAAGACCTCTTTAGAATATCGTAAAGCAATGATGTTACTTTGAGAACTAAGGGGCACCTGACCCAAACCATGGTATTTTCAATTGCTTCATATGCATGTGAAAGTTGGGAATTGAATAAGGAAGACCAAAGAAGAATCGAATCAATTGAATTATAGGGCTGAATATTGAAATTCAGTGAAGAATATTGAAAGTACCATGGAACAACCAATCTGTCTTGCAAGAAGTAAGACCTGAGTGCTTTTTAGAGGCAAGGATAGAGAGACTTTGTCTTACATACTTTGGACATGTTTTAGGAGAGAACAGTCCCTGGAGAAGGATATCATGTTTGGTAAAGCAGAGTGTGGGGGGGAGGGGGGAACAAAAGAGGAAGGCCCTTGTGTTAGGCAGGGTTCTCTAGAGAAACAAGACCAGGAGATTTTATATATATATATAATATATATATATATATACCTTGAAAAGGAATATAACAGCTAATTAGTCCACACAGCAGTATGGAGGGTTCAGTTCAACTCACTTCCATGGAACAATATACTGGAAGTCCAAGGTCCAGGAAGCAGACAGCAGAATCCTCCTTAAGGCAAGGCAAGCAGAGTCTTCCCATAGGCAGCAGGCAGCAGGGCGGGTCACCAACAGTCAGTAGCTCAGGAGCTTAGCAACACAGGATGGATGAGATGTCAAACACAAGCAATGCAAGGCAACAAAATTCACCAGCCTCAAACTCAAGTGATGCACGCACCAGCAGCGTGGCAAAGCAGGTATTGAAGGAGCCTCAAGCTCTAGTGACATGATCCACAGGCTGGTCTGGCACTCAGGTGGTGTAGCTCACAGGTTAAGGCAGAGAACTTAGCTACATCAGCAACACAAACACACCAGCACACTCAGACCACCAGAAAACAAGAGAGAGGGGGGTGGGCCTGGCCAAGCCATTTATCTCTTTGTCCTCCAATCAAACTGCAACCTGATTAGTCCCACAAGTTCCTATTGGCCAGGTTGGCACAATAAACCTAACTATCACAACCCTCAAAGAGATAGGTTGACACCATGGCTGCAATAATGGATTCAAACGTAGGAACAATTGTGAGGATGGCACAGGATTGGGCATTGTTTTGTTGTGCATAAGGTTGCTATGGGCTGAAACTGATTTGATGGCACCAAAAACAATAGCATATATACGCACATAAGATCCCCTGGTTCTATTTCCCAACAGCCCAACCTAACCAAAACCAAACCAAACACTATGGGTCAAGGCTGACTCATAGCAACCCTCTGTGGTTTCCCAAGGCTGTTACTGTTTACAGGAGTAGAAAGCCCAGTCTTTCACCCAAGAAGCTGCTGGTGGTTTTGAATTGCTGACAATGCATATCACAGCCAATGCTTAACTACTATATCACATTCTCTTTTTAAAGTATATACTCAAAAGTCTTAAAATCAGGAAATCATATACTTGAACACCAACATCCATTGCAGTATGATTCATAATAACTAAAAAGCAAAAACAACCTGAGTACCAATCCACAAATTAATTAATAGACACATTGTGTTGCATACAATGTAATATTATTATCCAGCTATGAAGAGAAATGCAGTTCTAATACATTCTGTGGGATGGATGAACCTCGGTAACATGTGGGAAAACATGTGGAGTGAGTAAGTAAGACACAAAAAGGCAAATGTTGTATTGTTCTACTTATATGAAATATCCAGAGGCCAAAGGGAAAGGAGGATGGAGTTACTTCTTAAAGGACACGGGGTTTCTGCTTGGGATGATGAAAATAGTTTGAAATGGAAACTTGTTATAATTGCGCACAGGAGTTCTGGTGGGCCAATGACCAAGAGTTCAGTTGTCCAGGGAAGTCACTTAACTGGCGAAAAGACGGTCCACTGGCTGCTATAAAGATTACAGCTCAGGAAGGGACGAGAGGGCATGCAACAGACTTGCACAGTACAGTGAATATAATTAGTGTCACAAAATTGTATGCCTTTATGGCCAAGTTTCTACTACAATAGTACTATAAAATTTTAACAACATGAACAACGTGAGCTCCATTTTCCTGCAAAATGAATGGGAACCCTGAGAGGGCTAATTTCCCATCTTACGGAATTTCCCCCAAGTACATCCTTCAAATAAAATTTACAAATCTAATTGCTTTCTTCTCTTTCATGCAGTAAGCACACTGTATTATGTTCTAACCAACCCATACCAAACACTGCCATGAAGGCTTTTCCAACTCATAGTGACCCTATAGGACAGTGGGGAAGTACTGTCCTTGTGGATGGTGCTTTTGAACTGCCCGTGCAAAGCGTCACCACTAAGCCTTATAAGGCTGCGGGTTCGGTATATGTTCCTGAAACTCCCTGCAGTCTAGTCGATGGCTATCCAGTAGGGCCTCAAACTCATGACCCATATAGGGCCGCTATAGGGCAGGGTGGAACTGCGTCTCTGAACGGGGACCCTTCAGGGCAGGCTAGAACATAGCAACTGTAACGCTGTACGGGAGTAGGCAGCCCTAGCTTTCTCCCGCTGGTGGTTTCAAACTGGAGACCCTGCGGATCACAGTCCGATGTGTAAGCACTACGCCACCAGGCCTTGAGCAAAATCGAACCTGTAGTTTATTTCGTTCTGTTCCTTTAAAAAAGGAGCCGGGCATCGTGCCCTATCTTGAAATGGCCGCTCCGGCGTCACCCTCATTGCGCATGCTCACCGAGCACTATTCGCGGTGACGTCGCGACCGAGATCTCGCCGCGCAAGATGGAGACGCGGCGAGCGCCGGGAAGGGGATTCCCGGCATGCCTTGCGGCCGGGCCGGGAGTCCGACGTGGAGTGACGCGGGCGCTCGGTGCTTTCCGACGCCGGGGTTGAGTTAGCGGTGGGGGCTGAGTTAGCGGTGGAAGCTGAGCCTGGGGCTTGAGCCCTGGAAGCAGCGAGCGGAGTGGAAGATGGAAGCGTGGCGCTGTGTGAGGAGGGGCTACGGCCGCTGTGTGGTGGGGCGAGGCCGGTCAGTAGGGCGGGGAGGCG